CTGGACTATGTTTCCAAGTTTGAAGATGTTTCGCTTCCCATTCAGGAAGCTTTTTCAATTTCAAATGTCAGAAATAGGGTTAAGTTCCAGGCTATATACAGAGCCCAACAAGGAGGAACGGGTCACCCCTTTGGAATGGAATGGAAAAACAAAATCCATAAACTTTTATTATTACATTTGAATTGCTTTAATGCCATTTTATTATTGAACAACAAATACTTAGTGACTGGCACACTTACAAAATGCACAACCCTCCATAGGTTACGATTAAAAATGTTTTGTTTTTTTTCTCATAACACTTTATTCCATTGCATTATTTCAAAAACTGTTCAGTAATGTGGTTGGAGTTTATTCGATTTATTATTTACTAACAACTCCTTACTGGTCAAGAATGTAAAAATGGTAGGTTGGAAAATAAAAAAATCTATATGATGATAGAAATTTGTTTTTTCACTTTTAGTTTCTTCAGTTTGGGCAATATTGTGTGCGGCTTGACTTGAATGCATCATAAAGTAGCTTGACCTTTGCAAAATTAGGTTTTGTTGAAAAAAAATCTGGACTGGGGAGTTTACTGTACTGTATACTGCAATAGATGCACTAAAAGGAGCTACCATTTTATTGATTTATTTTGAAGGAAGTTCCTTTTACTGTTGATACACACTCGCCAGCTTACTTCTGATGTTTTGGTGACGGATTTCCTGGGGAGAGCACCATTGGCTCAGTTCCAATACTCACTAAACTCTAAGCCCCTCTAAGTGTGCACATGGAGGAAGTGCACCTAAAGGTTCAAGAGCGCAGATCACAAGCGTGCAAAATTGGGACAGTACTTGCGTCCTGTGAAATAACAGAGACATTGAAAGTGTCAGGACCCATTTCTGTTTTTGCAATTTAACTGGCAAAAATATAACTTCAACAAGAAATACTTTTGTATCCACACATATACAGTAAAGTATGTATTATTTTTGATAATTACACCTGAAGCAATTATTTTCTTTAGCACAGACACTAGAGCTTACTATTTTTTCAACCTTATTTTTGCAATAAAAAGGTAAAAATCTAACAAAAATTTTAGCGGTGTGAAAGGTATATATCTTAATATAGGAGAAGATACAAAATTACACATTAGAATACAAGAAAATCTATAAGAGAATTAAGCCTAACTGAATCTATTTGCATGTAGAAAGAAAATGAAAATAAATATATCTTAGGAAAAAAAAGTGTTCAGACATTTTATACAATATTTTACCTATATTTTTTTATTTTATTGTATGGATATAGGAATGGGTCATCGATCCAAACTGTTCAAAGAGCCATATTGGACCAAAAACAAATCTGTAAGTCAAGCATGCCCAAAGTCCGTCCTCGAGGGCCGCTGTCCTGCAGGTTTTAGATGTTTCCCTCCTCTAGCACTGCCGATTCTAATGGTTAAGTTTAGCAAAAAGCCTGTTAATCAGCTATCAATGAAAATCAGGTGTGCTGAAGCAGACAAACCTTCAAAACTTTCAGGACGGCGGCCCTCGAGGTCCGACTTTGGGCATGCCAGCTCTAAGGGTATTGGCCCACTATACTAAAGGATGACATTGGCTTAAATATATAATAAACATTCATAATTAAATGTTTATCATAGAGCAAACGTGACATCATGTGACTACTCTGCTATATAATATTTGGTGCTTTAACTTTAAATTCCAATACAGTATTAATGTATTAGGTTTTGTTGCAGTGATGAAATTATAGAAAAACAATAAAGGAATCAGATTTTTTATTGTTATTCTTATTATGAGGTTTTGCGGTTAAAAAAATGGAAGAAAGTTCACATACCTTCATAAGAGCGCTACCTGTATCTGTGAACGATTTTCCATACTTGCAACAAAACTAGCACCATTAGTGGAGTTTGGAGATGCAATTCAATTCTTAAATCTATCTTTGCTCTCCTATAATTTATCCAGAGGTTCTGCAATCTCACTTTTTCTCTTACTACCAACTTGGTGGTCGGGTGCATATTTAGCATGCCTTCCCTGGAAATGCCTTTCCAAATGACCCTTTTTATTATTTGGCAACTTCTCATTACAAAGCAAAGATGCAGCAGGCAATCCTTCCACATCGGTAATAAAAGCAAATGATTCGGTCTATTCTTCTTTGAATCCTCTGTTCTCATCAGCTATCTTCCTTTTTTCCCTTTGCGATCCATGGCCCAAGACTCACCCGCCTGTTTGTTTACAACAGCCACCTGCTTGGCACCACGTCACCCTGAAATATATGCTTCACAAAATTGTACAGCATTGGAAAACAATGAATGGTTGACTTACTGCACACCATATTAAAACAAAAAACAAAACAATCCATCTTTTTCCATTTTTTTTTTTAAAGTTCAAGGGAGCAGCAAGGGTGGTGTTAAGCTGCAACCTGCAGCTCTGGAGCCGCAGGTTGCCAAACTCTGATATACAAGAATAATCTAAAACTCATTAAAAATACTTAAGGTGTGAATACTTTCACTGGATATTTAAAAATCAAAAGGACTGCCACTGTAGAATCTTATGAGCCAATTCAAAATTTGAACTTAAATCAGTCATGATCACTAATTGTGTAACCAGCACCAGAAGATAGACGCAGTAAATAAAGGCAATTCTTGCCTTTTTAATAGTACACAATTCATCTCCTTCAAATTTAAATCTCTTCTTTAAAATGTATTTCCAACATGTATTTAGAAATGTATTTGGTTTGGTATTTTAAATTTGGTTTCTTTAACAGTTGGAGAAATTAAACAAATTGAAAGTGAATATTATTGAGGCTCATTGTTATTAAATGTTATATTTTCTTCTATATAAGGTCCTTATTTATAATTACCGAATATAATATGTTTTATTGACTGATTCATTATTAAACCACACATTTATCATCAAGTATATGTCATAAATATTTCTATTTCCATTTGGAAGGTTAGGGAAATGTTATGACTGTAAACAGATTAATCTAGATTATTTGCATTAAAGGGTTTAGGTATGGCTTTGTATATGTTTTTATATAGTGATTCAGAGTGTCTATGATTATGTTTATTTAGGATGGGTGAATATAAAAAAAAAAAAAAAAGATTAACATCTAATAAATCTTAAAAAAAAAAACGTTCCCCTCAATAACGAAAATTCACTTTTTGTTCCAAATTATCCCCCTGAATAATCAATAAAGCAGGACCTTCTGTAGAAGAATGACTGAATACATATCAGTTTAGAGAACAAAAACATACTGTGTTGTAGGGTTGATTTACAGGAAATTTTATGGTTATCAAAATTGAACAGCAAGTCACTGGAGCTAGATCATCATCTACCTTTCTGCTTTTTTTGTTTACTTAAAACGTAACATGCAGCAGTGAATTATGGGCCATAAACTTTACAGAAGTCTGCTTTCCTGCACACAGCTCAAGTGAGGATCAAGGGAGCATAGAGGGCGTGGCCAAAAACCACTCTGGAGGATTTGGCCCTATTCGAATTCATGGGCTGCGTCCTCAGAAAGTCACTACCCGATCCGTCCTGGAAGCACGATCCTTTCTGCGCATGCGCCATCAGCTCATTTACGCATGCGCATCTAGATATACTGCCAGGTCATCCTCAATTTTATTTAGTTAAAAATACCTGAATGATGTTTT